GATCGGGAGGAGGGAGAGGATTCTGGATTGGAGGTCGAGGGGGAGGAGGTCGAAGGGGAAGGAGGAGGAGGTTTGGATCTCCGCCATGGCGAATTGAAATGGGAAATCTTAATTAATTTAATGTTGGTTAGGGGCTGTTTGGTTGTTGTCGGTGAAGTTGTGTATTTATGACACAACTTCGAAAGTTTTTGTCCACCTCATCAATTTCACTTTTATAATTTTCTTTGTTTGTTTTTGATTCTATTGGAATCATAAAACACTTGTTTGGTTTGCAAAATGGAATTTTAATTGTTTGTTTGGAAAGTGTAAAAAGTGGTCCCTACTCAAATGATCATATTGGTTGGAATTATTTTTTATTATTTTTTCCTTTTTTCAATGTTAACTTTCTCCTAAAATCATGTCTTTTTTTTATGAAACCACTTTACATGCCACATCACCATATGAAATCACTTTACACTATTTTCACAACTACAAACAAACAATTGAAAGTGATGAAAGCTGACATTGGGACCCACTTTTTTGCACTTTCCATCCTTTTACATGGTAAAAACATACAACCAAACAGCCCCTTACTGAAATTGCGTAAATTACAGTAACACCCCTGGTTACTGAAATTGGGTAAATTACAGTAACACCCCTGGTCTTTTAGAAATTTGCAGTGAACCCCCGTGAGCTTTCGGGATCACGCTACGCCCGATAACTTTTTGGAATTGCAGAAAACCCCAGAAACTTCCCGAGTTTTGTAGATAGCCAACATGAATTAGAATTTTTTTTTTAAATGGCAGTTTTAATGTTATTGGAGGTTTGGTGTACTTTACCCTAAAATGCAACTAGTCTAGGTGTTAATTGTTTAGTACTGGGATATGGAAATCCAAATTCAAATCACAATTAAATGGTCTGGTGTAACTCTAATCTTACATTTTAGACATCATATCAGTTCTTTACTATTCGAAAACTAGTCCTTCAAATCACTAAAATTGTTTTCTGGCCCCCACTTCTTATAAGTTGTTACCAAAGTAGCCCATCAAATCAAAAAAATGTGTAATTATTTACAAATTAATCCCCCCAGGGAAAATTAACAGTAACAAGATATATAAGACTTTGGGATCTAATAACAAAAAAATATGTGTGTAATAGCTACGGACCGAACTATTTTGTAATGGGGTACTTAAATCTTTAATAACTTAAAATTAGCCCCTCAAATCACTGAAATACTGTTATGCCTCACATTTTTTTATAAGTTGTTTCAAAAATCATCCTTCAAATCATCAGAATTGCTATTGGATGCACCAATTCATGTAAGTTATCCCAAAGCAATCTCTCTAACCTAAAGCAACAAAAGAAAGATACGAGAATCGGAGGACCTAAGAACAAGCTTGATGAGTTTTGGGACCGATCAAAATGTTAACATCCACCCTAGTAACCACATCCTATATTCTCCCTCCTCACCCCACAAAAAATAAAAAATAAATAAATAAAGTAAAAAAATAAACCTCTCTCCCTCATCTCACTGGAGTACCACGGCCGGAGTCCTCACCGCCGACTCAATTTTGGTGTTCCGACCGTTTTGTCGCGGCCAAAACCTCTTGTTGGTTTAGGATTTCGGTTGAAATCCAAGAAACTACTTACTTTTCCTCATCGATCTCCATGAGCTCGATGAAAGAGACGTCGCGGATCTGAGAGCCACCTGGACTCAAAGCCTCTAGAGCCGAAACGGTTCTTGATTCTTCCCGATAAGTTTCTGGATGTTCTTGGAGCTTTATCTTGCTCCGTTGTTTTGCCACTTCCATACTTAATGTGAGGGACTAATATCCAAACAACCTAAGAATCAGGGGATCTATTAGTAATTTCTGAAATGTGAGGGATAAGTTTCAAAATAACCTAAGATTTGAAGGGCCTGATACAATTTCAATTATTTGAGGAACTAATTCAAAATATGAAAAAAATTAAGGGAGTAATAGCAAAAAAAACATGGCGCTTCTTAGATCTTTAGGTAATCCCAAATTAGTTCCTCCAACCACCAAAATTACTATTGGTCCCACAATCTCTATAAGTTGCTTGAAAATTAGTCCTTCAAACCATCAAAATTACTACAATATCCCTGGTTTGTACAAGTTATTTCATTTTAATCCAATCTAGGCCTTGTTTGGCAAGGGGTTAAGTGAAAAATTAAAAGGGTTTAATCCCTTCTCAACCCTCCGAACATGTTCAAAGGGCTAACAAGTATACGAGGTTTAAGAAAGGTTAGTAAATCCTCCGAAAGAGGTAGGTTAAGTGACATCGCCTCTAGAAGTAAGAAACGAAACTTTTAAAAACAATAATACAGTAACTAATTTAGGATATTTACGACAATTATGCACTGACCTTTTTAATCCTTCTTTGTTTGCCAAACACAAAAAAAAAAGAAAAATTAGTAATTCATCTTAACTATGAAGTCTAAACGGAGTTGAATTATTTTTAACTTCTCGTAAAAGGTCAACTAAGTTTGTTAAGTTTGTCCTCCTTAATCTTTCTCGTAAAGTAAGAATTGAGGGATCTAATAGCAACACTGATGAATTTCTGTGCTGATTCGCAAATATTAACTTCTACCCCAGTGGCCCCCGGCTAATCACCTCCCATACTCTCCCCCCACCCACCCTCATCCTTTTCGCGCCACTCAAAAACCGCCAATTTCCCCCCAAAAAAATCCACTCTCCCATCTCCACTCTCTCCCTCCTATCGCCGGAATACCATGGCCCGCCTATCTCGCCGCCGCCTGGATTCAAGCCTCCGGAGCCGAAGCGGTTCTTGATTCGGCCCGATAAGCTTCTCGATATCCTTGGATCTTCCCTTGCTCTGTTGTTTCGCCTTGGGACCGGAGCCCTCGTTCTAGGGTTTTGGTTTCCGCCCCTTCTTTGTTCAGTTAGTAGATTTAGGTGCTGGTTATGTTAATTTAGGGAGCGCGGTTATCGGGAATTGAGTTGAAAGATTTATTTTTGCTATTAATTTTCTAGGTTATTTAGATGTTAGTAATACAGCATATATGTTGTCGCCTATAATCTTCTTATTTTATGGTTTCTATTAGTAGCAGTCACAAATGTGAATTACTTAAATTGAAAATTTGTTATACGAACTTCTATTGAAAACTTTCATTATTTCATACCATAAATGTGCATGGTTATATCTATATCAATATAGTTGATGGCTCATAAACTTGATAGCAATTTGATATCATAAAAGGTGGCGAACCAAAATTTATATTCCACCCTTGCTCCGCATTTCATGTCTTATTATTCCCACATTTTCCTTTTCAACGTGAAGTGTTGGATTATATGGAGAGAACCGAACAGCGATTGAAATCAAACCTCTTCTCGTGATGGGACTATATTAGTTACTCTCAGGACAAGCATTATTACTTGTTCTAACATGTGGTAATCGGACCTTGTGGATCCAATAGATCAGATATAACTAAGGCATTGTAGTGCACTTTATAATATATATTTTGTTATCCTTATGACCCTTATATATTTTCATTTTGTTTTTCAGATATTCAGTATCAGTTGTATCAGGAGACAAAATCCCATCCAACGAATATGCTATGGGTTTCGCAGGTAAAATTCGACTTCTTATGTACTAGGGACTTGGTTTTTTACTATCACTTTCAAATTGACACGTGATGGAAATCTTACTGTAGTTTAGGAGTCGTGCCTTTTCCAAGTAACTAATGCCTCCCTGGTTGTTTGCTCCTGCTAGCAGATATTGGAAGCATGATATACCTGAATTCATTATTAGGGATATAATAAAAACTGTCCAATGTCTTCCCTGAATTTCAATTACTACCTTAACTGAACAATATGTCTAATTTGTGCTCTTTGAACTAGGTCTGAAGTTCAAAGAGACTTCAAGGTTGGGGCCAAGGCCGAAAATACCTATTGAAATTTATGAATTTGAGGGGTAATTCATATTTCTTTCCATCAGTTATTAAGTAATTATATAATTTTGAACCGTTACTATTATTTATCATATTGCAACTGATTCCTCCTTTTGTACTGCATGTCATATATCATATGGTCATCAGCTGTCCGTATTGTCGAAAAGTAAGCCATTTCCATTTTTGAAGTCTTAAATATATTTCTAGTTGATGTCTTTTTTTTCTGGATAATCAAAATTTTACAAAATTCTTTCATCTTTTTATCTGGGGAACTTTCCATAAAGATCACAATTTTCTTGTTCTTTGTATACTTTAATGTGTTGGATGTGATTTCTGAAATTTTAACAGGTCAGGGAGATTGTTAGCGTATTGGATCTTGATGTTTTATTCTATCCTTGTCCAAAAAAGGGTCCAACCTTCCGTCCAAAAGTGCTAGAAATGGGTGGAAAGCAGCAGTTTCCTTACATGGTCTGACAACATTCCTTCATTTTCTTCACACTTTTTTCAGATAAAAAGTGTAAACCAATATATACTAATTGTGTTTTGCCGCAAGACAATTCTTTGATTTCATTTAATTCCATATCCTCTGATCAAGGATTTGTTGGCCAAAATTTCATATCTCACTTGGACTTGCCTTGAGAATGAGAAAATTTTCGTTCTCTGATTTTATACTTCTATTTCAGGTGGATCCAAACACCGGTGTGGCTATGTATGAATCAGATGATATAGTGAAATATCTGGTTAACAAGTATGGTGAGTATACTCACATTTCATTTATTTTATTAAATACACGATCAATTTACATTGTTATCAATAATTCATAAACATAAGTTTATAAGAGTTCTTCCGTAGTCACTGATAAATCATTGCTGTTAAAATGGAATTGAATAGTGTTATCTCATTTGCGGTAACAGTTTTACATACCAGGCAATGTGTTATGTATACTTAAAGGTTGACGTTATCTGCCTTCTAATCTATGGGAATAACATTCCCCATTATATTCTTCTGCTCAAGAGAAAACGCTTTCATGGAATCTCATAATGTACATTATTTTGGACATGCCATCTTCTTTCTTTCTTTTCCCCCCTTTTTTCCCTTTATTTTTGAATGATGGAATTTCCCCTAATAGACATTTTTTCGATGTGCCTTGTCCCTTAATGTTTTTTTATTTTTTTCCCCCGCCATGCATAACACAAATTTTCTCTGTTCAGGGGATGGAACAGTGCCTTTGATGTTGTCACTCGGTATGCTTACTGTAAGTCTTGGAGCAATTGTATTGGAATAACCAACGTATATTTGAATTTTAGACTGGAACCACTTACCAGCACATTTGGCTTTCTGTAGCATTGCTTACCCTTATGTTCTTTTTCGTAGATTCTTACTGCAAGGCTTGCAATGATGGCTCGTAAGAGGAAGGCAAGAATGTAACCTCTTTCTGTTATCAGATGCACATTAGTAGTTTTCTGTACTTCTGTTCTAGGTGTTCTTCATATCCTGTAATTTGTAGTGTGAAACTATAAAATTTTAATCTTTGTTTAAAATCTGTTTCATAATTATTTTGGTAAGTTCCTATTGAAGACCAGCCATATTTTCATATAAAAATTTGCCGCACTTTATGAGGTAACTATCTTGAGTAGTTATTTCATATAGTTGCTGCTCTTTATTAACTTTTCACTTGTGAGATTTCCTGTCAATCATCTCTAAGTTGTACTAAATTCCTATCTGCAGGGATATTTCTATAGTCCTTCCAAAATTCCACCTTCGCCGCTTGAGTTGTGGGCATATGAGGTTATAACATCAAATTTTATTCAAAACCCTTCGCTTTTTTCTGTCACGTGCAATAGTGTTATTATTATTGTGTAGTTTTTTATTCCCGGCAACTGATACATGGTTCACTCTTATAGGCTTCTCCTTTTTGCAAACTTGTTCGTGAAGTCCTTGTTGAGCTAGAACTGCCACACATACTTCACAGGTTCATTTTGTATTACTTTAAAATATTTCATGCATATAGTTAATAATGTAAATTTGTCCACATTGATTTTTTTTTCTTTTTGACTTTGGCTGCAATAGTCAGTTCAAGTTTTTTAGGGTTCTCATATTCCAGTTAGAGTAGACTCTTTTGTTATGTTGATATATTCAACTTGTTTTCCTAGTTACCAAGAAAACCATATAGGATATGAAGTATAGTTCCACCGAAGTAAAGTGAATTGAAACTTATAGTAAAATTCTAATGCTTGATCAACTTGTTACTTCAACGCGAAATTCACTGATATATGTGGGGTTGGTTTGTTAACCTATATAAAACCCATAAATTTTGATTGACTGTATCTCTTATTTTTCTCATGAAAAAAGAATATATTCTAGTAGCATACTTCACCTATCAACTACAGAGTTGTGTCCCCTTTTCAGTTTCTTCTTTAACTATTGCCGTTCTTGTTTATGCTCTCCAATATAATGACGTTAGGAAACAGTAAAACTATGATTCTGAGATCCACCGCAAAAGTAGTAGGGACAGGGATTCACAACATTTACATGCTCGCATGTTATAAGGAATTGTTTCCTTAGTAGGGACTTGAGGATGAGTGATATAGCAATCAGAAGAGTTTGTGCATGTTTGTGCACAGAGTAAGCGTCCCATTCCTTGGAAGATATAAATTAATCCACATCCAAATGTTCAAGGCTGTAAATAAACCCACCTTGTTCCAAACCCAAATTAAAAGTTCGTGCCAGTATCTGAAATGTATATTCCAGATGCATACACATCTTTGTTTGTATTCATCGATTGTAGGAAGCTCGTCTAACTTCTTCACATGGTTCTGAATAATGATTCCTGAAAGTGTTTGGAATTCCTTCTCGGTTTGTCTTTGGGGTGTGTAACCTTTTTTTTTGGATTGACTTGCTTAGTCTCCTCAGACTTAGGGCCCCTAAAATGTTAACTACTTAAAAATTACTCAAATATGGAAATGAACTTCTTACTCGTCGAAGTGCGTGACTTTTTTAAATTTTTTGCATCATCTTGAGACATCTTCTCTGTTCGTTGATCTCTTTCTTTTTAATTCCTTCGTAAACACTAAGAAAGTTTTTTGAATGTAGTTAGATATGTATTCTTCCTAGTTTTTGTAGGAAATTTTTCTGATGATAAATTAGAAACCTAATAAACTGTTTTAAAATGGAATGCGTATTCAATTATGACAACATGTTCTAATAAACTTCTATTGCAGTGCTGCTCGTGGGAGTCCAAAACGACAAGTTTTATTTGAGAAAGCTGGCCATTTTCAGGTTTCAATCTTCGATCTTCCCCAATTTCTCACCTTTTCTTCTGGAGAATGGAAGAATCCTCTAAATGATATTATCTCTCTCTTGTTGTAATGTGATCTTGAATAAAGATATACTACTTTCTTCATCAGAAACACAATATTCTCATTGTAGCTCATTTGCAGGTACCTTATTTAGAAGATCCAAACACTGGGGTGAAAATGTTCGAAAGTGCAGAGATCATAGATTATCTGAAAGCAACATATTCTCTTTAAGAAGCAGAAGCCTCTCTACATTTAAATGACATGGTATAAATTTAAAATATTTTGTTTTACTTCAGAAATATTCTACTTATTTCCCTTCCTTGCGTTTCTTATATCTATCTTTTACTTGGTAAGCCGTTCTTACATGTACAAAGCTTTGTGTGATGTAGCTGGCTAATGGTCCAACAAGCAAAGAATATTTGTTTTAATCATGTTATCAAAAACTCTAGTTTCATGATGACCATGTTCATCTCTTGTACTTGTATTTTTAACCGTAAATGTGGTTATTAGTTCGAAATTGCCTGAGTATATTGTGAGTTGTATTGTAATATATTACACATACAATATATCCCACTGGGAACAAAAGTATTATAGTGTATTCTTAATTAAAAGGAGCTATTTTTATGGCAGTTTATTCTAGTTAATCTTTTTTAAAAATTCTTTTATCAAAATTGCCATTGCAGCTGTGATTGAGGCATCCGGAAAGGGCAGCATTTATTTGATACTTCCAGGTTTTTCCATCCTTTAAACTCTCTGCATTTTGAACCTTTTGGAGTAATATTGTCCCTTGTTTGCAATAAGATTTTGAATAAACCTCGTCAGGATGGTAATTTATCATTATACTTAATTGGCAGGCAAATTACTAAGAAGATCCCAGCACTGAGAGTGACATTGCTGAGCATCCCGAGCAACTTATGATCTTCAGGAAGCACAAGGTCTGTTTTTTATTTGAAATCTAATACATCAAGAATTTGTTATTTTCTCCTCTCTTCACATCTGGTGTATAGATTTTTTTTTTATCTTTTTTTATTTTATAAAAGTTGTGAATGTTACGACTGGTGTATAGGTATCTGGTGTATATATCATACAACACATCCTTAATGCTTATTACAAATTGTCCATCTTGACCTAGTATTGGGATTACTTCTTGTGTCTAGTTTGGAGTGGAACGTAGTCTGAGATCGTTTTTCATAATCAAAAGTATCCCAAATCATTCTTGAGTTTCCATTCACATTGTCTGAATTATTCATCAATAGTCCAGGTATTGTTTCTAGCGTGCACACTGGTGGTCTGATGGAAAAGCCTCGACCACAAAGAATTTCAAAATTAAAGGGACATGTTGTTTTGATCTTTTTTGAATAAAAAAAGAGGCTTTTGTCAGTCTTTGTGAAGAGTTAAAGAGAATTGAAAAACTATAAACATTCCAGAAATGTGACAGTACAAAAACAATTAGCAATATTTTTATTTGTGCTTTCTCATAATGAACGACAATGGTGTTGGATAGCAGGTTCCTAATATGTTTCCTAATTTGTTTTGGTAATAGGTTATTGGGATTCCTAATCTGTTTTGGTAACAGGTTATTAGGATTCCTAATCTGTTTTGTTTTTTATTTTAGAATTCCTAATATGCTTATGATTTTAGGATTTCTATATATATGGAACAATTGGAAGAGAGAATTGAGAAGAAAATTAGGGATATTTGGAGCACAGAAAAAAAGTATTTTCTGAGCTATTGGTTAGGATTTTGTTTGGAGAGAATTAGAGATTTGTTGGTGAGATTAATTGGTGAGTTTGAGTGATTTGTAATCTCAGTTTGTAATCTTCTTCTCTATTAGTGAAAAACCTTATCCCCTTCTTACCCTGTGGACGTAGGCAACTTGTCGAACCACGTTAAAATTGGTTCTTTGTGTTTGTGGCATTGATTTGGTTCGTTTGGCCTTCTCTCGACGTTCATTTGATTTGATTTCTTGTAGCACGTTGGTTTGGTTGTTTGATTTCCGCAACGCTCAACAAGTGGTATCAGAGCTCGGGCTACGCTTGGGCTATTTGGAGGAGTAGATCGTTTTGGAGGCTCGCCTAGGGCTTCGTTTGGTAATACAGGTGAGATCTTTTTGGTAAAGTCTCTATCTTTTTTAGTTTTGGATCTATTCTTCATTTGTTCCGTATTTGTTTTGGTGCTTTGAGAAAGATGGTCGGGAAAGAATGAGTTGTGGAAGGTACTTCCGGCGTGAAGACCGTCCAAAGTTTAAATATCCACTCTATAAAGATAGATATGGAGAAGTTTAATGGCACAAATAATTTTGTTCTTTGGAGATGTGAAGTCTTGGATGCGCTCAATGCGCAAAATTTGGAAGATATTTTGGAGTTGGACGGAAAACCGGACGACATTGAGGAGAAGGTTTGGAAAAAGATGAATAGAACGGCGTGTGGTATGATTAGATCTTGTTTGACTCAATATTTAAAATATGATGTGATCAATAAGACTTCAACTAAGAAGATTTGGAAGATCCTAGAGGGTAAGTATTTGACCAAGAGTGTAGAGAACCGCTCGTATTTGAAGAGGAGACTTTATCTTTTCCAATTGAAGAAGAGGACCTTCATTGGTGATCACATGAACCGCTACACGAACCTTCTTGCGGATTTGACGAATATAGATGTGATGATTGAAGATGAGAATAAGGCATTGTTGTTGTTGAGTTCCTTGCCTGACGAGGAATATGAGACCTTCGTTCTTACTCTTATTAATGGGAAGGCATCTCTTTCTTATAGTGAGTTCACCACCGTACTTGTGAATTATCAGCTTCGAAAGAAGGATAATGAGACTTCAGTTGAGTCGGTAGCGAGGGCATTGGTGACAAGAGCAAAGAGTCCAAACCGTGGTAGGAGGTCACAGTCTAGAGGGACACATCTTAAAGTTCGTAGGAATCAGTGTGTCTTTTGTAAAAATGATGAACATTGGAAAGCCGAATGTCTAAAGTTGGTTGATCGAGCCGGGAAGAATAAGGGGAAAGCTATTCAAGCTTCAGAGGTGAATGTTGTCAAGGCTAGTGGTAATAATTCAGATTCGGATTCTTCGGGCTACTCATTATCTGCACTACCGTCAGTTTGTGATTGCCGACTCTACAGAGTGGATGTTGGATTTGGGTGCTTCTTATCATATTTACCCTAGGAGGGCTTGGTTCTTCAGCTTTCAGGAGTTGAAAAAAGAGAAGGTCGTGCTCATGGGTAATGATCATGAATATCCTATTGGTGGTATCAGTATCGTTCGGATTAGGATGAGTGACGGGGTAATTCGAGAGTTGACTGGAGTGAGGTTCGTTCCTCGGTTGAAGAAGAACATCATTTCACTTGGATTTTTGGAGACAGCAGGTTATAGGGTGACCCCGGTCGATTCATATTTGAAGGTCACATTGGGGTCCATGATTATGATGAAGGACGTCAGGAGGAATAATTTGTATTATTTGATTAGGAGCACGGTGTTTGATAGAGAGCTGACGACTTCTTTGGATTTGGCTAGACTGTGACATTTGTTGAGGTTGGGTTATTTGATTGGTTATGCCGTGCATGGTTTGTTGAGGAGTGTTTTGACCTGCAGATTAAAGTTCTTTGAGCACATTAGTATGTGCAAGAAGACCGAGACGGGGTTTGACACTTCTATCCATCGATCGAGTGGTCTTTTAGGTGGTGTTCAGTCAGACATTTTGGGACCTTCCAAGGAGGCATCATTGGGAGGTAATCGGTATTTGGTTTCCGCAGTTGGGGATTGTTCTAGGCATTGGTGGGTTACAACCAGGTCCCGTTGGTGTGAAGTCCTAGAAGTCAATAACAATTGGAAGAAGTGTATTGGCAGAAAGGTAATCTGTCGTTCTAGCTTTGGTAGGGGTTTTTTCTTGCATTTGTGCCAAGCTCATGACAGTTTGAGACACTTCATTGATGTGGAGACATTGGGGCGACGAAATGAGATGACAGTTTTGATGAGTCGTTCCTTACTGGAGGGGGATCGACGTTGGTTGTCGAGTATTGATTTTGGTTTTGTAGCTTCGACATATTTGGATCATCTTGATCATAGGTTACCGACTGCTGCGTGTAGAGATTTTGGATCTGGTGGAGTTGTTTCAGATTTTGGGTTGCGTCGGATATTTGGTTGCTCAGCATTTGGTCACATTGAGGATATGAGATTTGATCTGATTGCACGTTTGGGATTCAGAAGTTCGTTTGATTATCAGTTAGGAGCTTCTGATTTTGTTCTGAGCATGTATGTCATATTTGACTCTCGGAAGGTGGAGAGTGTTGATCAGATCATTGGGATATCGTAGCGGGCGGAGGGTGATGTTACTTCACATTGGATGGAGATTACTCCACATACTCCAGATCATACTATATCGTTTGGGATTCTAGCTAAGGTGACACAGTTTGGAGATCATTTGGATTTGGATGCAGATAATGAGTTGGTTTTGGATTCGAGAGCAGCTGGTGGACATGTTTTGGATAAGGCCATTGGTTCACCTCGGATGGAGGTGTTTGATTTGTTTCTGTTTGGGGCCATTGGGAGCGCTACCAGTTGCAAATCCGTTGGTGATATTGGTAAAGAGTTGTAAATTTTTCTATTTGATTGAGGGTCTTTGGAGACCGTTTGGGTGAACTACGTGAAGGCTTGATTCCTTGGGCAAGAGGATACGTAGGCAGTCATTTATGATACAGCCGGTTTGGTGAGTTGATACTGACATTTGGAGTTTGTTCGCATTCTCGTTTGGGTTCTCGACTTGTTATGGATTGAGTCCGTTGTTGTAGATTTGTTCCACTTCGTACTGGACGCAACAAGTGAGATGTTTGGTTAGTATTGGTGTCGGCTCAGTTTTGGGAGAACTTCGCCGAGGTGGAGAATTGTTAGATAGCAGGTTCCTAATATGTTTCCTAATATGTTTTGGTAACAGGTTATTGAGATTCCTAATCTGTTTTGGTAACATGATTCCAAATCTGTTTTGGATGCAGGTTATTAGGATCCTAATCTGTTTTGTTTTTTGTTTTAGAATTCCTAGTATGCTTATGATTTTAGGATTTCTATATATATGGAACAATTGAAAGAGAGAATTGAGAAGAAAGTTGAGGATATTTGGAGCACAGAAAAGAGGTATTTTCTGAGCTATTGGTTAGGGTTTTGTTTGGAGAGAATTAGAGATTTGTTGGTGAGATTAATTGGTGAGTTTGAGTGATTTGTAATCTCAGTTTGTAATCTTCTTCTCTATTAGTGAAAAGCTCTATCCCCTTCTTGTCCAGTGAACGTAGGCAACTTGCCGAACCACATTAAAATTGGTTGTTTGTGTTTGTGGCATTGATTTAGTTCGTTTGACCTTCTCTCGACGTTCGTTTGATTTGATTTCTCGTAGCACGTTGATTTAGTTGTTTGGCTTCCGCAACGCTCAACAAATGGATGACCGCGGATCGCTTTCAACACTCATTGGAGACCATCTCTACATACTTTAAGAAAGTCCTTTACGCAATTTGTTCTTTGACCAAATATGTGATTGTTCATCCTTCATATGATGAAACTCCATTAGAGATATCTACTAAAGCAAAGTATTATCCGTATAAGCTTCAAGCTGCGGTACATGTTATCAGGTTCGGACGAAGAGTTCGATCAGAGAGTACAGGCTGCTATTGAGAACCGAAGAAGGTTCGAATCTGGCGACACAAATTTTGATGTGTCTGATTGTGGATCACCTCATATACCTTCTGTAGCTTCATGACTACCCCAGTGCTCAGGTCTTTCTGGCTTTCGTCTGAGATTCTTGTACAGTGTAACAAAGGCAATGTATTGCTCGACACATTTGTAGAAACTGTTTCAACAATCAGAAATTGTGGATTTTGTTCTGCGAGGATAAGTGGTTTCTCCTTTGAGGTGATTGATGGTGATTAAGGGCATAAATGGAGGGCAATTAAAGATCTTTTAGCATGGCGAGTACCTTCAAAAACAAGGGGATACAGGAAACGCTTATTCAAAGTTTTAGTATTTCTGCTGCAGTGATCACAGCCAAAAAATTACACCAATATCACTTTTGATATCTCCTCTACAAGTTTTGACTTCAAAAGTTGATGATATCCTCTCCTTTTGGGGATCTATCCAACCAAATATTGAAGTGCATTAACAGCAATACTACTTAATACCAACTGATAATTATTACTTCAAACTTCCAAGAAACCAAACCATACTCTTGTCGCAACACCGCTCATGGTTGCGCACCATATACAAGATGCACAAATGCATCTAGATGCTACTGAAATAGAGTAACCAGCGAAGTCATTCACCGACTCAAAATCGTAAAATCAGCACCAACTGTTCCCAGAAAGATGGATGGCTTGCAGTTTGCATTATCATTTTACCAAAAATCTCAATGTAAACTTTTGCAAAGGAGCGTCGTACAATAAATGTACAAGTTTAGGTTCTGTGGTTGCATCAGATGAACTAGTAACATGAGCATGTACTTATTTTCCAAGCTAAATTCACCTGATCCCAAAACAAAACTCCTAAAACTAGCACGCAATTGGATTCATCAAGCAGCTTCTGCAGCAGCAGTAGTATAAAGGGGATGAACTATGTGGCCTTCCTTGGGATCGACATGGACCCACTTGCGACCACTCAGTTTGTGGCGTTCAAACCGCACTTGCCCTTCTTTTAGGGCAAACAGAGTGTGATCTTTTCCCATGCCAACATAATCCCCAGGATGAAATCTAGTGCCTCGCTGGCGAACAATAATGTTACCAGGTATCACCCTCTGCAAAATTAACAAAAATTAAATCAAATAATAGCGAAGGAAATGATAGAGCTCAAGCTTTTGGAGAGCGTACTCTACCTCTCCACCAAACTTCTTCACACCAAGATTCTTTGGGTTGGAGTCACGGCCATTCTTGGTAGAACCAGCAGTCTTTTTGGTGGCCCATCTTCGGAATACCAAGCTCAGCCCTCCAGATTCCTCTAAAAATAAGACATATATTATTTGGTTTTAATTTAGTGGAACTACTAATAGAAGAAATCAGATAGGTAAGTTTTTAACAAGGTAACGGTGTAAATACCACTAGTACTAGTGTACATAGGGGCACTCGAGACTAGGTCCCGCAGACCCACACGCCTGCATATTGTTGAGAAACTAGCATTCATCTCTGAAACACCTGAATGAGAGTCCATAAAACGTATTTAGAAGGTTGAGATGTGGAGAATTGCAAATAGTTGAGGAATTAATGGTCAGAGAGAAGGAGAAGGCTGAGATGTGGAGAATTGCACATAGTTGAGGAAATAATGGTCGAGGGAATTGCCAATAATTGAATTAACAGAGGGAGGGAAGGATTCCAACAACCGATGCAATTCTCAGAGACATAATATCAAATAGCTAAACTTTGCATTATTTGCCCTGCACTAAATTGCAGAATGTATACAATCAGTCCTCCCGTTCTATCAATAATGTTAATGCTTTATTTCTATAATAAACTAAGTACACGATCTTCCTAGTTATGTATTAAACTATTCATGCCTATTATGATAGCAAGTTTGTGAACCAAAGGAAATTTGTAGTAGTTCTCATTTGGTTCATTTACCAAATTATTTCTCAGTATGTATGTTTACATTTACATTTACATCGTCTTTATTGAGAAGTGCATTATTTATTGGAATCCTTCCCTCCCTCTATTAATTCAATTATTAGCAATTCCCTCGCTCTGTGCATTAATTCCTCAACTACTTGCAGTTCTCCACATCTCAACCTTCTAAATGTGTTTTATGGACTTTCATTCAGGTGTTTCAGAGATGAATGCTAGTTTCTCAACAATATGCAGGCGTGTGGGAGGTGTTTCAGAGATGAATGCTAGTTTCTCAACAATATGCAGGCGTGTGGGTCTGCGGGACCTAGTCTCGAGTGCCCCTATGTACACTAGTGAGTTTCTCAACAATATGCAGGCGTGTGGGTCTGCGGGACCTAGTCTCGAGTGCCCCTATGTACACTAGTGCTAGTGGTATTTACACCGTTACATTGTTAAAAACTTACCTATCTGATTACAGACGCGGCGACGGACTGTTGACAGTAGATAGCACGAGTACAAAGGGAGCGCCCAGAAGTAAGGAGACGGAGATCAGGCGATTTTTAGGGATGGAAATAGGTCTACTAAAGCGGGTCGGGTTTTGTATTTGCGGGTAAATGCATCCACTGGGCTAAAGATTGATTCAATTGGGCTTCCAGTTGAGGTGGTAGCCCGCTTTTACAATTCTTATCATGAATGGGCTGCCTCTTCACCGTGCTAAGAGCCAGTCGGATGACGGAAAGTATGAGAAATATATGTAGATCAAAAAATAACTTTTAACTTATAAAGTAGAAGTGACAGAAATAAAACACTTTTCTTGTTTATTTATATATTTTTTAAAAGCATTTGAAATACTACTTTCTCTTTATTTATGCACGTCAGTTGAATATACAAAATCATCCTGTGCATGATGGATTGAAAAACAAAATTAGAGAGGCAGAAATTCGACTTCCAAGTTAACAATTCAGTGGGTAACAGAGGGATGGTTAACATCAAAAGAGCCCTAAGGCTGTATTTGGGAACATGGATTTGGGCCCAGGATTTTAAATCCACGGTATTTCAAATCCAAATCTGTAGTTTGGATTCTAAGTTGGCTAAGATTTCAAATCAAATTTTTTTGGAGAGATGGATTTGAAAGCCCAAATACACGTAATTCAAATTCCATTATCGTCGAAACATCTTCTCTCTCGACACGGGTAACGTCTCTCTCCTCCCTCTCTCTCTCCTCCCTCTCCTCTCCCCTTATCGTCGAAACCCTAGATCGAATCTAGGGTTTAGGTCTCCTTCTTTGTTCTCTCTCTCCCCTTTCCGTCAAAACCTAGATCTGATCTAGGGTTTAGATCGCGATCTTCGCGGCTAAAACCCTAGATCAGAGCTAACACTCTTGATGTGACCGCCGTTCATGGTCGTTTATGTTATTTGTTATTTGACGATCTTTTTAACAGATTATTTCTAATTTTTTGATGATTTCATTATGAATGCATTAGGGTTTTGTGAGTTTGATGGATTCTTGGATAATCCGAGCAAGGGGTGCTTGTCTTATATCAAACGTACAATTTTTTCCATTTTATTGAGAATTTTGTTCTTTTTAGTTTATTGTGATTTTAATTTACTTTTTGATTGTGGTGGCCAAACCCATTTTTGAATTCCGAGTTTTAATTATCCAAAGGCAAGGCTAATAAATACTAATATCAACAGAATACGCGCATAGCCTAACGTTTCCTTCCCAACTCAGTAGATAATCCACGAAATCTGAAAAACAAACATCTAGTGCTAACAAGAAATGCAGCATGCAATTGGTCTAGAGTTTCCTTTTTTGAAGGAACCAGTACTAAGATAGGTCTGGTAAATAAGGAATAAAGTTGCAGCTTTATTCATCAAACAAGATAGGCTAATATAATGCTTCATTTGGTAACTTTATGTGCTGGAAACTTCAAGAATACCCAACTGCCCAACCACGAAATCGACATTCAACTATGTGATACTTGTTATCTGAGGACAAAGTTGCAGCTTTATTCATCAAACAAGGCACACAACCTCTCTCAAGTTCTCTTCTAAAGACACCGCTAACACACAATGATTTATGTCACTCGCCCAACTGCCCAGTCACTTAAGCATACTAATGACTCCTGTTTTTAAAGTCGAGCAAATCAAATGACCGTTTAAGAGCAAGACATTGAGCCGGATTATTAGGCAGTAAAGAAAGAGGAGAGTTCACCTCCGACAATTAGATGACGCTTTGACTGATATTACGGATCCGCAAGGGGTGAGATCGGATTTTGTGCAAAAATTATCTGTAAAAGGCACAAAGAAGTAATCTTTAGCAATCAATATAAATTAAAAATCGAGAATAATGGTGGGGGTAACTTTTAAGCTTCCCAACTTACATTTTGATGGCTCGAGAGGGAAAACGGCCGAGGGAGGAGTAAACGGCGATCTTCGAGGGACGACGAGCTTCGAGGGAGGATTCGGCGACGAGATTCGAGGGACGGCGAGCACCGAGGGAGGAGAGAACAGTGAAAACCCTAGCCCTAGAATCCACTCCGAGGAGAATAGGAGCAAAGCAGAAACTGAGAAAAGTGAAAACTGTAGCCCCTAGAGCCCACTCTTACCTATTTATAGGGTAGTATTTGTAAATAAAAATTGGAGAAATTTTTAAAACAGCCCATTTTTCAATTTTATTGTGCAAAATCGACCGTCTCAGAAATTAATTAGCAAAAACAACCGAAAAGGGTCGATTTTGCAATTACGGAACTGCACGGGACTAGTAGTCCCGTGCAGTCCGCCTACCCCACTAACTCCGCTTTCTTTTCGTTCGTTTCGTTCCTTCTTTCCTTCTGCGATCTCGTGACCACTCTCCCCCGAAGAAAAAAAAAACCTGCTGGCCTCGTCGACCCCCGCCGCCGATCACCGCCATTTTCCGTCGCCGCCGATCACCGCCATTTTCCGTCGCCGCCGACCCCGACGCTCTCGTGACTGAGCCTTCAACCCCCCCAAACCCTAGCCTTCAACTTCGACTTCGACCCCCTGCCATTTGCAGTCGCCGCCTAACCCTAGCCCTCCGACCTCGTCGCGCATCCGACACCATCGACGCCCACCGAACCCCCATTCTCAGGTGTGTTTTTCTTTTTAATTTTGCTGTTAATTTGGGAGTTAGGGTTTAGTTTAGCAATTATTTACATATGAGAGGGTTTAACAATTATTTTTGAGAGGGATATTCATCAAATTTGCTGTTAATTTTGCTGTTAATTTTGCTAGAATTGGGTAGGATTAGTTTTTATTTTGTGCAATAGGATGAATAATGTGGTTTGGGGGTTAGGGTTTAGCAATTATTTACAAATGATGAATAATAATTAAGGGTGTAGCCATTATTTGAGATTGATTAAGGTAATAAATTTGATGTTGATTTATTCAGATATTAATAGATTATTTGCATATGATGGACTGTGTATTTTCAGTTTCGATGACGAACTCCATATCCATTATTTGTTTCTTTAATGGGAGCCTCGGCGTCGGAGTGAATAATTTGCCGGTGTATGATGGAGGTTCTCGGAAAATGTTCATGCTATCTAAGTCGTGTAATTTTGATGGAATGACTAGGGAAATACACAGAGTTACTAAAATTAAGAAAGAAGAATATACAATTAAGGTGTTCTTCAACTGTCCTATAAATGAGAGTAGAACTATTGCCGTGGAGATTACCGAAGATGAGGAATTGAATGACATGAAACAATTAGTCGAGAAGCAAGCGTCAATTGAGTTGTTTATTGAGAAGTATCCGATTCAGGAATTTGCCCAAGTTTCACGACCTCAAGGAGAGTTTTCTCGGATGCTTGACTTAGACAACGAGTCGATTGGTTTTATGACATCTCCAAGTCAAGAGCCATGGTCTCAACCACAACGTTTAAGTGAGTATTCTATCGGTGGGACGTCAACTAATATATTTAACGACGCTTCAGTTCATGTTACGGGTTACCCACCAGTCGGAGCAATTATAGAAGATGAAGCAGATGATGATTCAGATCATTTTGAAGAAGATGGCGTGCAAATTGATAGCATGCATGTGGCAGCTGGAATAGATGATGACGCCCGTTGGATGGAGCAATTTAACGTTAACAATGATTATGTGGAAGCTGAAGATCCGTTGCCCGACGAGTTTCATAATGAGGATTGGATAAATACTTCTCAAGCTGGATTTGTTGATGTTGGGCCAAATTTACAACGACCTGAGGACTTCACTTTTAAAAAAGGGGATCTATTCGAGAACAAGGAGGCACTGATTTTTGCAATCCGAGAATGGTCCATCAAGAATCGGGTCAAATTAAAGCCGGTAAAAACTAATGCAACAAACTACAATGTGAAATGCTTCTTTAACGATAAGAATGAAGTAGAGAATGCAAATGAGCAAGATGAGAGAAATAAAAAATGTCCTTGGTTGCTAAATGCCGCTGTGAGAAAATCATCAAATGGGCAATTTGTAATATGTAGATATTGCGGACTTCATACATGTTGCAACCCGTCGGTGGATGTCGATGATTATTCTGCATCTTCTTCTTATATATGTAAGCTAATTATGCCTGAAGTTAGAGCTGAACTTGATCTGAATGCAAGTCAGATATTTCAGAGGGTATATGACATGCGGGGGATTAAGATATCTAAATATAAGGCATATGATGCAAGGAGAAAAGCGTTGTCTAAAATTTTTGGAGATTGGGAAAAATCATATGAATTACTTCCACAGTATCTTGAAGCTATCAAACGAAATAATCCGGGTACTGAATACGAAATATTATCCGAAGAGATTGCACCGGGTATGGAGAGGTTCACTCGCGTGTTTTGGGCATTTGGTCCTGCTATTAAGGGCTTCACTTTTTGTCGTCCGCTATTGAGCATTGATGGTACACATTTATATGGAAAGTACAAAGGCGTGCTTCTTGTAGCGACCGGTGTAGATGCAAATGGCGGGTTATTTCCTCTAGCATTTGCAGTCGTGGAGGTGGAGGATACGTCTAGTTGGAAGTGGTTTTTTGAACTTATATACAAGTGGATTCCAAGTGTCCGTGCGCCAAGAATAATTACCTTTATTTCGGATAGGATGAAAGGAATTATAAGGGCGTTACATGAGGGTTTTAGTGCACCACATCACCATCGATATTGTTTAAGGCATATAAGAGATAATTTCAAGAAAAAACACGGTGAGATTAATTTGCAAAATCTTTTGTGGCAAGCCGGGTGTGCGACCGACACATTAGTGTATGAACATTGCAGGGAGAAAATCAAGTCTTTGTCATTAGATGCACATAATTGGATTGAAAATAACTTGAAGCCTCAATTCGAGCATCGGTGGGCATTATGTAAGGATGAGGGTGTGCGGTTTTGCATGATGACGACTAATTGCTCCGAGAGCTTTAACGGCGTTCTTAAAGGAGCACGAGCTATGCCAATACAATCTTTGGTTGCGAGAACATTCTATAGACTAAACGCATACTTCAACAAAAGGCGTGGTGATGGCATAGACTGGACAACACGTTACACACCAAAAAATGAGTCCATTTTGCATAGAAGAATTGAGGCAGCAAGATCATGTCAAATTACTGTATTCAACGACAACGAATGGCAGGTACAAGATTGTGACGGTATCTACACCGTTAAACTATTTGATGTTGATTGCACTTGCACATGTAACATACCACAACTCCAAAAAATACCCTGTGCACATGTGCTTGCGGCTTCTTCTAATCAGCCGGGAGGTGCTAGAATTCCCAGAAATCGGTATTGCTCGCCTTGGTATTCAACAGCTCACTATCAAAAGACATATAGTGAGAGTTTTCATCCACCTGATGATAGTCGGTATTGGCCTGAATATAATGGACCACATATAGTTCCACCTCAGTACCGGAGACAAGCAGGTCGACCACGATCTGTGCGAATTAGGGGAACCATGGATCAAGGGCGAGAAGGAGTGGTCAAGCACAAAAAATGTAGTCTTTGCAAACAACCGGGACATACTCGACCTCGTTGTCCATCTAGACACAATAGATAGCAACTAATTGGTAATTTATATCATTTTTTTATTTTTATATACTTTAATAAAGAAACTGAATTACTATATGATTGATTATTAACATGTGTATAATTATATGTGCAGGTTTGTACACCATGGATCCTGGGCCGGTTAGTGATGAGGTCTTATATGACCAGGCTCAGCATCGTTCACATATTATATCCTGTACAGAGGTAATTCAGTTACTTTATAATTGTAATATTTGCATTTACATAATATTGCATTCTTATACTATCATTGTCTATACAGAGAGGTCCGAGTATCGTTATGGTTGATCAGTGTTGTAAAAAGCGGCAAAAAGCGGGGCTATCGCGGCGCAAATCGCGGAAGCGGGGATTAGCTTATTTTAATAAATTGGAATATTGTGAATATGCTAGGTGGTTACCACTCCTCGAGGACTTGGACGTATGTGGTACAAAATCGTGGGGTAGTGCTGTTTTGGCGTATTTATATAGAGAGATGTCAAAAGTGGCACTTATGCAAAACAGTGAGCTTAAAGGGTGTCTAAGCTTATTGCAAGTATGGGCATGGGAGAGACTTCATTTGAAGCCAAGACTATGCACGCATTTACAATTAGATGGACAAATTCCACTGGGATGCAGGTATTGTATTTTTAGTGTAGCGAATATAATTGTAGTTATCATTGTGGTACTAAATGTATGATAAATATTTTTTTGTAGATGGAATGTCGAAAAATGCTATGACGAGACCCCGGCTAGACAATTAGATTTCTACCGGAATGAGCTTGACCGTATGAAGATTTTTCAGGTAATTCTCACCGAAAAACATGCGTTTTTTCTTCTACATACTGAAAACCCAATTCTGATATGCAACTGCAATAAATTATTGTAGATGGAATGGGAGCCCTACACCCAATTTCTACCTCAGCTACCCCCAATATGCACAGAATACCAAGTTGTATGGAGAGCTAGAGTTCCTCTTATATGTTTGGAGATAGTAGAAATGCATGTACCGGACCGCGTGCTTCGACAATATGGTCTTGCACAACATGTTCCGCAGTTTGTTGAAAAGATAGAGAGGAAGGCAAAGAAAGGAGGCCAACAAATAAACTGGATGATCGTGCATCAAGCTTTTATACACAAATGGAATGATAGGCATTTTTGTATTGTCAACCAAATTGAACCAACTCCTCGGGAATCAGATTACTACACTTGGTATTGGGACATAACCCGAAGATGGATACTTCATTCGACCACAATACCGGTTGAGTCGCAAAGAGGATATGTGCCCCGGGGTATAGATGAGAGAGAATTAGTAAGTATTTTCATATTTTGATTTAAGTCCATTTTTATTGGTACTTTATGTGTTGAAAAATTTGCAGGTATCAGCAATAGATGAAGTTCAAACTCTTGCAAATCGTGGTTTGGAATTGGCTCGAGCAGGTACGAAAAAATTAAATCTCAAATTTACATTCTGTAATATCAAATTTAATATGAAATTTTGTTTTTGAACTATCTATCGCAGCAGATAGAAATCCCGAAGCACATGAACATGTATCAATATATCAGGCTATAATGCAGAGGCTTCAACAAGCCTTACACCGAACTCACGAAGATCGTCATGATGGACGGGAGGTAAGGTCATTCGTATATACACGACAACAGCGACAAAGTCGAGGACGACGCAGAAATAACGATGAAGCTGGACCTTCCCAACGTGTCGACGATGGAGCTGGACCGTCACAACCACAAACGCAACCGGATCACGAACTCGTCGAAGGGCGGTATGGAGGACGACGAAGACAAAGGAGGAGGAGGAGAGTTCTTGGATGTATGTAAACTACAGGTTATATACATTACAAAACTATTTAGGGATGTGATTTTTGGATTTGTAGTCGATAATATCATGTGATATGTTTGATTTCTAAGTGGGTTTGTGGTGTTATTATGCTGGATTTGTTAGTGGGAGTTTGTGGTGTGATGTGATTTGTTTGATTTGAAATGAGTATGTGGTGAAATCAGTATGTAATTTGTTAGTGGGAGTTTGTGTGGATGTATGCACAGGGACTACATGAAATGCAGTGGTGAAATGAGTATGTGACTTGTTAGAGGAAGTTTGTGTTGATATATGCACAGGAACTACTTGAAATGTAGAGAAAATTGCACAAAAATGTGCACAGCGAGTGCACGGGACTGCTAGTCCCGTGCACTTCGGAAATCACCCTCCGCTGCAAAACCGACCCTTTTCTCCTGAAAAGGGTCGGTTTTGCTAATATTTTTCAGTTTAGGTCGATTTTGCCTATTAAATTTTAAAAATGGTTGGTTTTAAAAATTTCTCCATAAAAATTTAGATAAGTAATATTTGCAGTAAGTTCAATTGATAGGACTAAAATGTACGTCTGGTTAAATTCTATTCATTTATGAGCCGAACACTAAAAATTATTTGTGTAGTACCGAATGAACTATCGAATAGGAACTTGATCGAATATCTGGACGGATAATAACTGAACTGTTTATTATATTTCGGTTCACTTCCACCCCTACTGCATAGAACTCTGAAATCCGGTGAGAGATTGAAAATTATAAGTTTATACTCTTAATACATAGAAATGTTCCTCAGGCGAAATATTTAAATGCGATACGTGTAATAGTCGTAAATAGTTTGCTGCAGACTTTGAAAAATATCGGCTATATTTTTGGTGGTTGTGTTCATTATTCACAAATAATGACCAAAAAGTTTTTTTTTTTTCTCATAAGAAATACTAATAAAGATTGAAACAGTTTGCAATAAGTTCAATTGATAGAACTAAAATGTAAAAAGCTATCGAATATTTAATGAACTACCAAATCGAATATATCTTTGGTTAAATTCTATGTGTTTATAGGCCGGAAAATTATTTGTGTAGTACTGAATGAACTATCGAATAGGAACTTGATTGAATATCTGGATGGATAATAACCGAACTGTTTATTAATTATTCAATTCAGTTCCACCCCTACTACACATGACTCTGAAATCCGATGAGAGTTTGAAAATTATAATTTATACTCTTAATACATAGAAATGTTCCTCAGGCGAAATATTTAAATGCGATACGTGTAATAGTCGTAAATAGTTTACTACAGACTTTGAAAAACATCAGCTATATTTTTTGTGGTTGTGTTCATTATTCACAAATAATGACCAAAAAGTTTTTTTTTTCTCATAAGAAATACTAATAAAGATTGAAACAGTTTGGGGCACATAGCCTTCATTGACTTCATAAATGAAGATGCACTTACATGCAGCAATTTTGTGCAATGTTTTTAGGGAGAATTTGAGAATGGGGAGCACAAATATTTTCATGCAAGGGAGTATCTCGTAATCGAAGTGGGGCGTGTGGTAATGTGTAAATAAGGCTGGTTATAGGATCAAAAGGAAAATTCAAAGATAGAATAAGAATTCAAATGTTAATAAAAGTATGAAACTTATTTAGAGAGAGTGACGAAATGGAATATTTTGGAATTAAATATGCAAAATTTGGAAAAAGAAAGCAAACTATTGAAAAAAGAAAAGCAAATTAGGGCCGGAATCAAATATGCAGATAGTAATGAAATGGAAATATTTTGGAATCAAATTTTGAAACAAGAAAAGCAAATTAAGAAGCAACCGGTAGTATATCTAGTAATTGAAGGTAGTATATCAGTAAAGTATAAAACTTATTCAAAGAGAGTAATGAAATGGGATATTTTGGAATCAAATATGCAGATAGTAATGAGATGGAATATTTTGGAATCAAATTTTGAAAAAAGCAAAGCAAATTTTGGAATCAAATTTTTAAAAAAGAAAAGCAAATTTTAAAAAAAAAATAGACAAATACAAATAATATAGTAGGGCCCAACCGGGTTCGAACCGGTGACCTATTGATCTGCAGTCAATTGCTCTACCACTGAGCTATGGACCCAAGTTGTTAATATTTTATGCGGTCACACAAATTATTCACGTATTTCTTATGAATGCCACCGCAATAACCCGACTCCAATAGTAATTTTAATATATATAATTTTTGTTATAGCAATATATTGATATTAAAAACATCCGCATGTCTAAGCTTCAGCTAAAACATCATATTGGTATTTTTAGTAAACCATATTTTTAATATGTTTTTTCTTTCTTTCAACTTATGACATTATGGTATTAATATTAACACTTGATGTCAATTTAGTATTATATTATAAGATTAATTATAATCATGTACCTTGAGGTGTGATGTAACTACACGGGTAATCTTGGAGTCTATGTATCTATGATATATTTACACGGGTAATCATGGAATCTATCTATCTATTTGCATAACCCTAAGGTTACTAATATAATTACACATGTAATCCCGAGAGTTGTTTTTCATATAGGTTTAGGAGCACCCATGAAATTACAATAAATAATCTGAGGGATACTCGTGTAGATTCACAAACTCCAGAGTCACACGTGTGATAACACCATATCTCATAGTTACTGGAATTAATTAATCTTATTATGTATAGGAATTATTTAGCAGTAGAAAAAAAATAACGGGAATGGATATTAATTTCGATATTAGTATCATAGCGTCACAACTGAAATGGGGGAAAAAATAATACTGTATTGACAAAAAGGTGCTTCTAGAAATGCCAATTTGATAGTTATATAGCAACTGGAAAATGGAACATAGTTTCTATCTCCTGAAATTTTCATACACTGACCTTTAACATGATTAAACAAGAGTGACAATGCCTCTACCTTTTTTTTAATTGAAAAAAGGAACATAGTTTATGTCTCCTGAAATTTTCATATACTGACCTTTGTTGACACGATTAATCTAAAATGACGAGGCCCCTACCTTTTTTTTAAACTTATTTTCATCTTATTTTTATTAAAAACAAGACTAAATGGCAATTAAATATCCTACTGTTTTACTTAAATATCCTAAGTTATAAAAAATAGTATTTTTAGTACACTGAGTTCTAAAAAATTAGCACGTTAGTAATTTATGTTAGTCGTTTTAGAAATATTTCTAAGAATATGTCCTAGAAATTAACATATAATGTATTAAAAGTGCTACTTTATTACAACCTAGGGTATTAAAATGCTACTTTAATTTAACTTAGGTTATTAAAGTACCATTTTTTATAATGTGGAATATTTAAGTGTAAATGTGTTGACACAATAATGTATTTAAGTGATAAATTTTCACAATTTAGGGTATTAAAACGCTAATTTTTTATAACTTATGGTATCAAAATACTACTTTTTACAACATAGAGTATTTAAATATAAAAATAGTAAAACAATAGGATATTTAAGTGTCATTTAGCCTTTAAAAAATCGTAATATTTTCTTTATACTTGGATGAGAACGCAGGAAACATTCCCTCCCACAGAAATACCGCATAAACAACCTCTTCTCAAATATTTTCCTCCTTTTCGCTTGTAACTTTAAAAATCTATTAACCATACCAAAATCTTTGCCATATGTTGGGCAAAGAATGAAACAAACAATTAAAAATATCAACATAAGCATCATATGAGATAACTGTAGAGTTCCGAAAAAGACGAAACGATTGGTTCTCTTAACAGTTTTAGTTGTGAGACGAGATTCTATCGCTTGGTAAAAATCTATTTACAATTGTTCTTTTTCAAGTACAGAGGAAGAGAAGATTGATTCAACTTCTCTCTTGTTTAATGTGGGTTCGGTGTCGCGATGAGATGTCTAGCTCGATACTCGCGTCGAACTTACTTCTCGTTGATAATCGGAGCAAGATTGCTTCAATTCGAGGAGAAATAGACTCCTTCGAGTTCTTGAGCCGCTTGCGACTATCGTTGGCCCTTCACGCTCGCACGTCTAATTTTTTTAATCTCAAGAACCGAGGTTCGTATCTTTCCAAAATAGCGTAGATGTAGCTCTATGCTTGTGTGCCTCTCCAAGTTTGAGTGCTAGCTCGCCTAGAAAAAAGATCTCTTTTCTTCATAGCTGCTCAAGGCTATTTATAGGTCTTTAGCGCGTAACCGACGCGCTGATCATGGGATTAAAAAGCATAACTGACTCCTTCAATTTAGCTCACGTGGGCTGACTGGGTCTTCAAGGCCGTTAGCCTTCTAACGTCAAGCCTCGCTAGGTGGCGAGGTTCATCTAATGAGACAAACCTCACTGCATGGCAAGGTTCATCTGATAGAGTAAGACTCACTGTGTGGCGAACCTCATCTTCTGATGTGAGCTTCGTCTTTCGAAAACGCTTCGTCTTTACTGACGAGCTTCGTTTCTGGGCGAATTTCATTTTTTCGGCGAAGTTCTTTTATGGTTGAAGTTTGTCTTCTAAGACACCGTTTGGCGAGGTTCGTCTATGAATGAACTTCACCTCTTGAATAGGCTCCATTCCCTAGAGGATTTTTTGTCCCCTATGACCAGCTTCGAACTTTGTCTCCCATGACGAGTTTCATGTTTAATGTTGAGCTTCGTTTTCAATGACGAGCTTTATTGGCTAAGACGAGGTTCGTCATTATGACGACCCTCGTCATGCTTGTAGCGAAGCTCGACCTTGCTTTACCTCTTGCCATTTTTTAGTGCCTAAAATAACGTGCGTCTATAATATAAAAATTTAAAAGGTAACCTAAACACACTTTAGCACGGAAAATTTAAATAATGTACTTATAGGAGCATTAACCATTTAAAGGAAATTATTTAAGGAAAAGGTCCTACTTGAATTTGCTAAAAACTTTATACGTTGTAACCAAACCCAAAAACTGCCAAAAAAGCTGCAAAATACATTAAGACAGTAAAACTGCCAAAAATAGCTGCAAAATACATTGAGACCATATCTTTTTGGCAGCAAGACTTTCCAAAAGAATATATCGGCCTGACATATTGGCTATGTCAAGGATATCTAATACAATGATCAAGGCTCAAATAGAGGTGAATCATAATGGTTCTAAAATTGTAGATATAAACCTACGTCGTCACGCGCATATAAGTCACTTGAAAGACTTGTTTTCAAAATATAATTATCACATAATGGAGCTCATATCAAACAGCGAACCATCATCTAAGTACCAAATCTTCTCCCAATTAAACACTGTTCTATAAATAGGACTTAAGATGCTGATGTCAAAGAGAAAATTAAAAAATAACTAAAATAGGAAAACAAGAAAGAACTTCATCCTCTAAGTCGAATGAAGAGGTAGCATGGAGTGATCTAGGTGTTGGTAGCTCTGGTGTAGATCTGCTGGCTGGAATGTGAAGTAACCATCCTAATCGCACCCCTCGCCATCAAATCCTTAATCGCCCTTCGTGCAAGTGATCCATTAATCTGAAATATGAACAAAGACACCATTTGCTAAAAATATAGCTGTAGACACCGTCTAAAAAGAAGAGCTATAGGGATGGCAGTTGGTTGAACAATTATCCAACCATTCGCCATTTATTTGTTTCCAAGTATTCATTTAAATTTGTTTCGGGAGATCATTAAGAAAAATCAACATTAGTATTCGTTTATGAAACAATCAAATGTGAGCTTCGACATATTAGATTAGAAGTTAATTTGCTTATCAAATGTTCATTAACAGATTAGTTCCACTTTGACGCACAGTAATGCACGCGACTTTGATGTTTAAGCGTGATAGTGTCATTTTGAACGCACAGGGACCAAAAAGGCATGCACCCTATAAACAATAGTTCTTTGCTACAAACCAAAGAAGACAATCAAAAAATGAAAGATTATAAGGTTTTTTCGTGTAAGAAGAAAACAGTACAAAGGAAACGATTTATTCCCGTAAAATGAGATGCTTAAGAGCTACAAGCAAGACCGCATTACGTCCTTCTTAACAATATTTTAAGTCTCGTATTTTTTCCCTAGTTTCAATATGCCTTTACTGTGGTATCAGCACTAGGGACTTGAACAGTTGCGAGAACTTCGAAACACAAGTAGCGATACAAATAAGTTTTTACAAATATTTTGAGAATAAAAATTGGACAGAATACTTTTATTCTGGTAGAAGATTCTTATCACATTTCTGGAAGAATTTTTTTGTTAATGCTAAAAGTTTTTTGTGCAGTACTCGTGTAGAAGTGGGGAATGGAAATCAAACTCTATTTTGGCTTGACAAATGGACAGGTGCAAATACACTGGCTTCTATGTTTCCTTTTCTTTTTAATATTGCATCTTCCCCTTTTGCTTCTATTAGTGGTTTGAGAAAAAAAGATAAATAATGAATGGATTTGGGATATTCAATTTCAAAGGCAGTTGACTGGAAATTTGGTTTTCCAATATGTTAATATGTTGAACAATATTATGCTTGCTAATTTTGTACACAGGGAGGACAAGAGAATTTGGATTTGGGAAGCAAAAGGCAAGTTTATTGTTAAATCTTTTTATCAATTTCTTATTGATGGAGGTTTAAGATATGATTGCACAAATCTTTGGAAACTCTTTGTTCCTTTAAAGGTGAAATTTCTAATTTCTGGTCTGGTTGGCTTTAAGGCATGGATTAAACACAAAAAAAAATTGGAAAAGAAAGGGGTTCATATGGATTTGATGTGTTGCTTTTGTTCCAAAGAAGAGGAAAATCATCTTCATCTTTTTGTAAAATGTGAGTTTGTATACTCAATATGGAAATCTATTCAATATAAATTGAAAATTGAAAAAGATTTTACTATGTATTCTTTAAAAGAAATTTGGAATACTTGGATTAAGGAGGAGAATGATAGGTGGAATATTGAAAGAGATGTGATTATTTGTTCTCTTATTTGGTGTATTTGGCAGGAAAGAAATGATAGAATTTTTTTCAAATAAGAGGAGATCACTTGAGCTTTTGGGCAAAATTTTGACTTTTGCGAAATTTTGGATAGGTTCACAGATGGTATCTGATCGTGCAGCTAGATTACAAGAGAGGAGGAGGAAAAAGGCAAGGATTTTTTCTGCAAATGCCAGAGTTCCTCTACCTGCTGCTGGGAGTGCGGTAGATACGGTTTTGCTGGAATGAAGGCTAATCCTGGAAAAGTGAATTTGTTTTGTTGTTTAAATATGAAAACTTTGTAAAAGTGTTGGTTTTATGCTACATTTTATGCTATGATGTTGATAGATGATAGCAGGGGAGGGGAACTGGTGTAGTTTTTTGTAAATCATAGCTGACTTAGTGTACACATTCTTGGTTGGGGATGTGTATTATGTTGTAACAACCAATTTTGTTTAATTTAGCTGGTTGGATTACTATTTTGGTAATCCATCCTTTTTCTCAACAAAAAAAAGTAGCGATACAAGGAATAAGTGAGCTTAATCACATGTATTCTATTCATGATTTCTTCAGTATGACAATACGAATCTGATAATTTAAACTTTCGGATCTCCTCACATATTATGTGTTATTGCAGTTCGCTCCTTTACGATGTATTGTCGTGCAAGATCAGATAACTATCTAGCTATCCATATAGAATCAGAAGATAGAAAATCATAAAGGGTTTCACAAATGTTTTCATGGGTATTTCCAATATATCAGGACAAACCATTAGCATGAATAACTACTCTCAAAATAAATACCAAATCATGACATATCTCATCACTAACAAGTATGCACATATAAATGATAACAAATCAAATGAAACCATATGAAAAAAAATTAAAATTAATGCTCATAAGAATCATACCCTGAGTCTTTCAGAAAGCACAGAGGGAGTGATCTGCTTGTACTTGGGAACCTCGCTGAGCATCTTATCGTAACTCCCCTGATCAAAAAGCACTGCATTGTTCACCTTCTCCTTTTGCTTTCCCTTGCTCCACTTCTACGTTACCCAAACAGAAACAAAACCCTAGCCTCTTCAGAATCCAAAAAACACGCGTAAAGCTCCGAAACCCTAGCCCTAAACGCGAAAAGATCGAAAATTTACCTTCTTCTTCTGCTTCCCGCCGCCGGACTTCGCCGGCTTCGACGACGGCGGCGGAGCCTTCGAGTCCTTCTTCGGCGCCTGTACGAAAACAGCAACAAAAAGAAGTTGTGAGGGTATCAAAATTGGGAAGAGGAATTAGGGTTTTGAAGCGAGGGAAATTGGATTACCATCTCAAGTTGGGATTTTTATGGAGATTGGGAGGAGAGCGGCGCGAGGAAGACCAAGGGTTTTCGTTTATGTATTCGGGTGAGGGATGAAATAGATTTGGGATTTTGCGGAGTTAGGGTTTGATCTGGACGGTGCTAATGTGCGCTGGATCGGTGATGGACGGATCAGATGTGAGGCTGCTAGTGGAGCTTGACAGGCGTTTGATCTCCATCCAACGGATTGAAACGGAAGGGTTAACATGGCACGGATAAAAGGAAAAATTGTGTCGATGCCCTAATTTTTGGAACATCATGTGACCAACGCTTTCAATCTTTTTCTCACGTGATTCAGCCCTCAAAATCCAAATGTATGCGATTCAGCCCTTAGTCATTATTCTCTGTCAACTAAACACAGAAAGAGAAAGAAAAATAAAAAATTCCAAAATGGTATTACCTTATTCATTCTTCTCTCCAAATCCAATGGTCATGCCTTCTCCTCTCCTCCACTTTCCTAACCGATCTCCTTCCTCCTCTCTCCCTCTTTGTCCTTTTCTCGCAGACACCGACATCCTCCTTCGTCACCACCGAACTTAGGTGCACACTCCTACTATATTGTTTATTTGTGGGCATATTACTTAAAAAAAACTCAAAATTATTCGCACCACCTTTTCTCCAACATAGTCCCCNCCCCCCCCCTCTTTCTTTTCCCTTCAAAACAAAAAAACGCAAATTTGTCCGGCAATAGCAATGGTGAAACCCTCGAATTCGTCGGAGTTCTCATCGGAAGATCCGTCAAACAACAGATTAGTCTCCGACACTGAAGGTGAAGAGGTGGCGAAGGAGGTGGTGCTGGAGGAGGACGAGGATGAGCTTGAGGCCGTTGCAAGTTCTACAAGACCTCTAAGCTATTGGTTTTTTAAAAGTAATTTGTAATTTCTCTTTGAACATTGTGGAAAGATAAAAAATTAAAGAAATACAGGCTAAATGTGATTTTTTTAATAATTCTTTATGTTAAGTTCAAGTCCAAGTAAGTTATCGGACTTTCTGATGTGAAGTTCAATATTTATGACATTAAGTCTAATGAGTTGCAACTTAGGTCTAAAGGCTTTTATGTTAAGTCATTTGTGTTGAATAATAAGCCTAAAGGTAGAATGTTAAGTATAATCGATTTATGTTATGTATAATTTCTAGTATGCTAACTGCAAGTGAAAACATGTTAAGTCCAAAGCGTTCTATGTTAAGTCCAATTTCTAGTATGTTAACGGCAAGCCATTACATATTAAAGGCAAAGCATTGTATGTTAACCCTAATTTATAATATGTTAACTGCAAGTCATTACATGTTAAGTCCAAAAGCGTTATATGTTAACTCTAATTTGTAATATATTAACTGCAAATCGTTACATATTAAGTCCAAAGAGTTGTATGTTAACTCTAATTTGTAATATATTAACTTCAAGTTGTTACATGTTAAGTTTTAAGCGTGGTATGTTAAATCTAATTTGTAGTATGTTAACTTCAATTTGTTACATGTTAAGTCTAAAACGTGGTATGTTATGTTTAATTTGTGTGTTGTCAAGTCTAAATCTGTTCAATGTTAACTCATATTAGACTCAACATGTAACAAAGTACACATAATATTAAGCAAACTAAATTTATTATTCAACCCAATAGATTTAACATACAAACCATTGGACTTGTTATTCAAGCTAATAGACTTAACATACAAGCCTTTGGACTTTATTTTCAACTCATTAGACTTAATATTTCACCTTGGACTTGAATTTAACATCAAAAATTGTATGTTACGTATATTGGGCTGAATAATAAGTCTAATTTACTTAATATTATGTGTAATTTGTTACGTGTTAAGTCTAATTTGAGTTAACATTGAATAGATTTGAACTTGACAACACATAAGTTAGACTTAACATTTCATGTTTTACACTTAACATATAACGACTTGAAATTAACATACTAGAAGTTGGACTTAACATAGAACGCTTTGGACTTAACATGTAATGACATGCAGTCAATATATTACAAATTAGAGTTAACATATAACGCTTTGGACTTAACATGTAACGACTTGCAGTTAACATATTACAAATTAGAGTTAACATACAACGCTTTGGATTTAATATGTAGCAACTTGCAGTTAACATACTATAAATTAGGCTTAACATATAACGTTTTGGACTTAACATATTCTCACTTGCAGTTAACATACTAGAAATTATACATAACATATAATCAATTACACTTAACATTTTACCTTTAGACTTATTATTCAATCTAAATGACTTAACATAAAAGCCCTTAGACTTAAGTTGTAACTCATTACACTTAACGTCATAAATATTGAACTTATCATCAAAAATTCTGATAACTTACTTGGACTTGAACTTAACATCAAAATTTATTAAAAAATTACATTTAGCCAATGTTTCTTTAAAGTTTTATCATTCGACGATGTTCAAACTGAAATTATAAGCTACTTTTAAAAAATCGATAGCTTAGAGGTCTTGTAGAACTTGTGACAGCATGAAGCTCCTCCTCGTCCTCCTCCAGCACCGCCTCCTCAGCCTCGTTCTTCACCACCTAAGTTTGGTGGTGACGGAGGGGGCTGCCAGTGTCTGAGAGAAAAAGAAGGAAGAGGGAGAGAGAAGGAAGGAGATGAGTTGGGAGAGAGGAGGAGAGGAGTCGTGACCATTAGATATGGAGAGAAAAGAATGAAGAAGATAATGGCATTTTTGGTTTTATTTTTGTTTTCCTTTCTCTCTTTGTGCTTGGTTGACAGGGAATAATGACTAAGTAAAGGCTGAATGACATAGATTTGGATTTTCAAGGCTGAATCACATGGGGAAAAAATTGACAAGGTTGGTTACATGAGGTTCTAAAAAATTAGGGCCATGACGTAATTTTTCCTAGTCAAAACTACCTGAATTTCGGACGATTTGCCAAAATGCCCTGAAGTCTAAAATTTGGAGTAAACTCACTAAACTTTGAAGAGAAAGCTGTCCAAACTGAAATATTCTTATTTTAAAAGTAACTCCTCTCTTGGTCAAAAAAAAAAAAACCCTTTGTGTTTTCATGTTTTCCTATATCTCTCTTTACCAACAAGCCTTATACTGAATTTTTCCCAACAATTAGGGGGGACTTTTTGAAATTTCACAAATGGATTTGTGAAACTACTCAAATTTTATAGGAATTTTCCTTTGTTTAAGGCTAATTTTCACTTGAGCATCTCATACTTTCTCGTGCTTTACACTTAACGTTCTTATTTGTTTTTGCCAGCACTTCTATACCTTGGAAATTTTGAAGTTTGCGCATTAATACTTTATATTATGCAAACACGGAAGCATTAATTTAAATATCCTGATATGATAGTACGTGGTAATTTTAGACATTGGAGTAACTTTTTACTTATTTATTTATTTATATTAGACATTGGAGTAACTTTAAAATCTATACCAATTGTATTTTAAAATTTAATTGGAGTAAATTTGATATAGATTGAAGGTAAGTTTAAGAATAAATATAATTAAGGGTTAAAAGGTTCTAACATATTTGGAAATATTCTTAGGTTCACATAAAGATAAAATTTATGGATATGGATTTCACCATAGAATTTGAAATCCATAAATTTTTTTGTGGGTTTTGGGATCTCTAAAATTTTGTTTGTTTCATCAATATTTTGGGATTTGGAATACCAAAATTTGTAATATTATGTTTGTTTCATCAATATTTTGGGATTTGGAATACTATAATTTGTAATATTTTGTTTGTTTCATCAATATTTTGGGATTTGGAATACTATAAATTATATATTATAATATTATATAATATTTTCATAACATATATATATATATATTTTAGATATATTAAATATTATATATATAATATATTATATATTATATATACATATATATTATATTATAATATATAATATATAATACATATATAATATTATATATAATATATATATAATATTTACTACAGCATGAACAGTGTCAATCGGAACCCTTTTGGATGAAAAACAAAAAGACGGAGAGTCAGTTGACAATTTTGTCAAACGTTTCCGTAACAAAGCAATAAATTGCAGAGATCCTATTACAGAGGAGTTCATCCTGCAAACATGCCACAATAACCTCTCCATCGATGTCCTGGAAGCTCTGGGGTCGTACCATCCAAAACTTGGAAAGATTTGAAAATACGCGGTGAACAAGCTGAACACTTTCTTAAAAGAAAGAAAGATGACGCCCCAGCCATATTGGAATACCTCCTCGCTAATGACAAAATCGAGCTACCACCTATTAAAGATCAGGATGGAGCTAAGAGGATTACGGATCCAAACTACTGTGCATACCACAGAAGGGTTCTTCATCCCACCGAGATTTGCTTTGGACTCAAAAACAAGATCCAAGCCCTAATTGACTCCGGCGTCATAACGACGAAAGAAGTCGAGTAAAGACGACCATACAACTCCAGTGGGTGCACGAGTATAAACTGTTTCCCCACACTCCAAAGAGCATATGAGTATAAACTGCTTCTCGATTATCCAACTAAGTACAATGTTAAACCCGGTTTCGCAAAGGAAACTGGGGGTGGATGATTTATATAACGGGAAGTTCCTGGAATACAATGTTAAACCCGGTTTCGCAAAGGAAACTGGGGGTGGATGATTTATATAACGGGAAGTTCCTGGAGAATCTTATATTCTTAAGGATAACCCGAACATGCGACTGAGGATAACGAACTCCTCGTTATACCCGGTTTTGCAAAGAAAGCTGGGGGTGGATAATTCATGTAACGGGAAGTTCCCGGAAGAATGTTAAATGTAATATTCTTAGGGATAACCCCGATCATTATGAACAAAGTGATAAACACTAAACTCCTACTATGACTTCCGAATACTCTTTTGCTGAGATGAGATTCGATCACCTCTTTAGATCAATCTTCCCTCACAAAATTCCCATTTTGGTCAAACCTTTAAACAGTTAGGACCAAAGCCAAAATCCCCTCTCGATTCGTTCCATGAACGAGAGGTCCACAAATTGAACGATCAAACCTTTAAACAGTTAGGATCGTCTCAAATTCCCATCTTGGTCAAACCTTTAAACAGTTAGGACCAAAGCCAAAATCCCCTCTCGATTCGTTCCATGAACGAGAGGTCCACAAATTGAACGATCAAACCTTTAAACAGTTAGGATCGTCTCAAATTCCCATCTTGGTCAAACCTTTAAACAGTTAGGACCAAAGCCAAAATCCCCTCTCGATTCGTTCCATGAACGAGAGGTCCACAAATTGAACGATCAAACCTTTAAACAGTTAGGATCGTCTCAAATTCCCATCTTGGTCAAACCTTTAAACAGTTAGGACCAAAGCCAAAATCCCCTCTCGATTCGTTCCATGAACGAGAGGTCCACAAATTGAACGATCAAACCTTTAAACAGTTAGGATCGTCTCAAATTCCCATCTTGGTCAAACCTTTAAACAGTTAGGACCAAAGCCAAAATCCCCTCTCGATTCGTTCCATGAACGAGAGGTCCACAAATTGAACGATCAAACCTTTAAACAGTTAGGATCGTCTCAAATTCCCATCTTGGTCAAACCTTTAAACAGTTAGGACCAAAGCCAAAATCCCCTCTCGATTCGTTCCATGAACGAGAGGTCCACAAATTGAACGATCAAACCTTTAAACAGTTAGGATCGTCTCAAATTCCCATCTTGGTCAAACCTTTAAACAGTTAGGACCAAAGCCAAAATCCCCTCTCGATTCGTTCCATGAACGAGAGGTCCACAAATTGAACGATCAAACCTTTAAACAGTTAGGATCGTCTCAAATTCCCATCTTGGTCAAACCTTTAAACAGTTAGGACCAAAGCCAAAATCCCCTCTCGATTCGTTCCATGAACGAGAGGTCCACAAATTGAACGATCAAACCTTTAAACAGTTAGGATCGTCTCAAATTCCCATCTTGGTCAAACCTTTAAACAGTTAGGACCAAAGCCAAAATCCCCTCTCGATTCGTTCCATGAACGAGAGGTCCACAAATTGAACGATCAAACCTTTAAACAGTTAGGATCGTCTCAAATTCCCATCTTGGTCAAACCTTTAAACAGTTAGGACCAAAGCCAAAATCCCCTCTCGATTCGTTCCATGAACGAGAGGTCCACAAATTGAACGATCAAACCTTTAAACAGTTAGGATCGTCTCAAATTCCCATCTTGGTCAAACCTTTAAACAGTTAGGACCAAAGCCAAAATCCCCTCTCGATTCGTTCCATGAACGAGAGGTCCACAAATTGAACGATCAAACCTTTAAACAGTTAGGATCGTCTCAAATTCCCATCTTGGTCAAACCTTTAAACAGTTAGGACCAAAGCCAAAATCCCCTCTCGATTCGTTCCATGAACGAGAGGTCCACAAATTGAACGATCAAACCTTTAAACAGTTAGGATCGTCTCAAATTCCCATCTTGGTCAAACCTTTAAACAGTTAGGACCAAAGCCAAAATCCCCTCTCGATTCGTTCCATGAACGAGAGGTCCACAAATTGAACGATCAAACCTTTAAACAGTTAGGATCGTCTCAAATTCCCATCTTGGTCAAACCTTTAAACAGTTAGGACCAAAGCCAAAATCCCCTCTCGATTCGTTCCATGAACGAGAGGTCCACAAATTGAACGATCAAACCTTTAAACAGTTAGGATCGTCTCAAATTCCCATCTTGGTCAAACCTTTAAACAGTTAGGACCAAAGCCAAAATCCCCTCTCGATTCGTTCCATGAACGAGAGGTCCACAAATTGAACGATCAAACCTTTAAACAGTTAGGATCGTCTCAAATTCCCATCTTGGTCAAACCTTTAAACAGTTAGGACCAAAGCCAAAATCCCCTCTCGATTCGTTCCATGAACGAGAGGTCCACAAATTGAACGATCAAACCTTTAAACAGTTAGGATCGTCTCAAATTCCCATCTTGGTCAAACCTTTAAACAGTTAGGACCAAAGCCAAAATCCCCTCTCGATTCGTTCCATGAACGAGAGGTCCACAAATTGAACGATCAAACCTTTAAACAGTTAGGATCGTCTCAAATTCCCATCTTGGTCAAACCTTTAAACAGTTAGGACCAAAGCCAAAATCCCCTCTCGATTCGTTCCATGAACGAGAGGTCCACAAATTGAACGATCAAACCTTTAAACAGTTAGGATCGTCTCAAATTCCCATCTTGGTCAAACCTTTAAACAGTTAGGACCAAAGCCAAAATCCCCTCTCGATTCGTTCCATGAACGAGAGGTCCACAAATTGAACGATCAAACCTTTAAACAGTTAGGATCGTCTCAAATTCCCATCTTGGTCAAACCTTTAAACAGTTAGGACCAAAGCCAAAATCCCCTCTCGATTCGTTCCATGAACGAGAGGTCCACAAATTGAACGATCAAACCTTTAAACAGTTAGGATCGTCTCAAATTCCCATCTTGGTCAAACCTTTAAACAGTTAGGACCAAAGCCAAAATCCCCTCTCGATTCGTTCCATGAACGAGAGGTCCACAAATTGAACGATCAAACCTTTAAACAGTTAGGATCGTCTCAAATTCCCATCTTGGTCAAACCTTTAAACAGTTAGGACCAAAGCCAAAATCCCCTCTCGATTCGTTCCATGAACGAGAGGTCCACAAATTGAACGATCAAACCTTTAAACAGTTAGGATCGTCTCAAATTCCCATCTTGGTCAAACCTTTAAACAGTTAGGACCAAAGCCAAAATCCCCTCTCGATTCGTTCCATGAACGAGAGGTCCACAAATTGAACGATCAAACCTTTAAACAGTTAGGATCGTCTCAAATTCCCATCTTGGTCAAACCTTTAAACAGTTAGGACCAAAGCCAAAATCCCCTCTCGATTCGTTCCATGAACGAGAGGTCCACAAATTGAACGATCAAACCTTTAAACAGTTAGGATCGTCTCAAATTCCCATCTTGGTCAAACCTTTAAACAGTTAGGACCAAAGCCAAAATCCCCTCTCGATTCGTTCCATGAACGAGAGGTCCACAAATTGAACGATCAAACCTTTAAACAGTTAGGATCGTCTCAAATTCCCATCTTGGTCAAACCTTTAAACAGTTAGGACCAAAGCCAAAATCCCCTCTCGATTCGTTCCATGAACGAGAGGTCCACAAATTGAACGATCAAACCTTTAAACAGTTAGGATCGTCTCAAATTCCCATCTTGGTCAAACCTTTAAACAGTTAGGACCAAAGCCAAAATCCCCTCTCGATTCGTTCCATGAACGAGAGGTCCACAAATTGAACGATCAAACCTTTAAACAGTTAGGATCGTCTCAAATTCCCATCTTGGTCAAACCTTTAAACAGTTAGGACCAAAGCCAAAATCCCCTCTCGATTCGTTCCATGAACGAGAGGTCCACAAATTGAACGATCAAACCTTTAAACAGTTAGGATCGTCTCAAATTCCCATCTTGGTCAAACCTTTAAACAGTTAGGACCAAAGCCAAAATCCCCTCTCGATTCGTTCCATGAACGAGAGGTCCACAAATTGAACGATCAAACCTTTAAACAGTTAGGATCGTCTCAAATTCCCATCTTGGTCAAACCTTTAAACAGTTAGGACCAAAGCCAAAATCCCCTAGCATTTACTATAGCATGAACAGTGATTCTTGGGTCCTCCTATTATTATAGAGGAATAGATGTATTATATTAAATATTATATTATTATAATATTATATATAATATATTAATCTTATATTAATCTTATATTATTAGCATTAATACATCAATATCCAACCTACATCCTCTGTCAATTGTAGAATTTCACAAATTCTAAAATATAATAGTTTTTTTATTATTTGGGGATTCAATATCCCAAAATTGGTTGTGAAACCAACATGGTTTATGGAATTCTAAAACCCAAAAAACTTGTAATCCACCTTATATTCCAAAAAAAGGACAAAACAAAAGAGAGGATTTCACAAATCCTAAAAATATATTATTTGTTTATAATTTAGGGATTCAATATTCCAAAATTAATTTTGAAACAAACAAAGTTTATGGAATCCCAAAACTCAAAAAGAGCACTTTTTACATCCCAAAACTTGAAATCCACCCTATATCCCAAAAACAAAACAAAACAAACATCCCCTTAATAACTTCCTAGTACGTAATTGTTGCTAAAAATAGGTGAGTGGATGCAACTGTTGCTAAAAAAAATAAGTGAGGCCATATAAATATAAGTACAAAGCAGGAGAAACTATGAGGTATTTGAGTGCTTAATTAGTATAAGTTTTTTTAGTGCGTACATTTCAAAAACTCTCTTAAGTTTGAACATTTCTTAGATAGCCCTCTTAACTTCCAAAAAAACATCACAAGATCCCATTAAGTTTTGGGGCTCTCATAAAACCCCTTTCAACTTTGAACAATTCCCCGGAAAAGGGGGGAAAACCTAACATCATTAGTCTCAAATTTTCACATTGGTGGGTAAAACTATATAGGGTGATATTTTTTTCGAGTAAAAATTATGGCATACATTTTTCAGAGAATTCTTCACAACATCGGAAGTTAAAGGGCGTTTTTTGGGAACCCCAAAACGTAAGGGGTTTTTTTGTGTAGTTTTAAAAGTTAAGTGAAGTTATATATGAGGGACGCCCAAACTTAAGGGGGGTCTGTGAAATTTAATATTCGTCGAGGAGGTTAGTTTAGGAGTTTTCTTAATGAGTCATGGGTAATTTCGGTAACATACAACACGAATCGATCACACATCCCATCCACGTGTCCTGCTTAGTTTCGGCTACAGTGACAGAGGAAAAGAGGAGAGCGCAGCTTTTTTAGGATTTAGGGTTCGATTTCTCTTTTTCCCTTTTTTAAAATTAAAAAAAAAAGAAAAAGAAAAATTGAAACCCTAGTTTTTGATCGCCATGGCAGCTAGAAGAATCGCGGCGAGATACATTTCACGCAGGCTCTCGTCGAGCGGCAAGATCCTCAGCGAGGAGGAGAAGGCAGCGGAGAACGTCTTCATCAAGGTAGTTCTTCATCTAATTAGGGTTTATTTTATAATTGATCGTAGTTTAGGGATTTGATCTGAATTTATTAATGTTTCTTCATCTAGTTAAGAGTTTTCATGATTTCAAATAGATTAATTGTAATCGAACTGTGTTGTTTGCTAATCGATCTTTATATTTAGGGCTTTGATCTGAATTTTTGATTGGATTTGGTCATTGGTAGCTAAGTACAGTTTGAAAATTTCTTGGGATTTTTATTTTAGATCATATCAAGCTCGCTGCTTAAACCAAGAATATTGCTTATTTAGTGAGATTCCAAACATCCCTATGTACCCAAATGTGCAAGAAAAGGTCATAGCATTAGAAACTAGTATATGTCATGATATGTGGCTTGTACTTTCGTATAATTTTCTTAATTATAATGTAAAAAAAAGGTGAATGCGAAGGCTGAAGCTCATGTTTATATTTTGTATTTTGTTATAGTCAATTTTGTTATAGTCAATTTTGTTGTGTTATTATTTGTATTTAATCGAAAAAGTTAAACCGTTTTTATCAAATACGGATATTGAGTTTGTTATCTAAATACTATGTATATCATATCCATGTTGCTAGAAGAAACTATGTTTTGTACATTACATAATTGGCCATTGTTTCTAAAAGTAGATTTCTGTATTCTCATTTGATTTTTAAATTGGAGAAGAAATGTACATATTATTCATCCAGTGAAGGGAATAGGGTTTGCATTTGTTTAAGTACAATGTGAAGAATGCTTATTCAAATCACATATCAACTTATGGTATGTAAGGCTTGGTTTTATCTGTCTCGACTCTTTTATAATAATTCAGTTCATTTCTAGAATTTCAATCCATAACATTGTTGATCTGAGTTGTTTATCCACCTAATATTAAGTCATTTTAAAATCAAGTATCCATATTTTCCCACTGGAAAATAGGTCGCGCTTCGTTGATTTGGTTGCATATGTGTTGTTGGGAAGATTCACACGATTCACAACTGACTGGCAGTATGCCACTATGCCCAGTATTGTTTGTAGAACGTGCTATTAGATGAGTGTAATGAACATAATAAGCTGCAAGTATTTCTTACTTGCCATGAACATTTCAAGGGAAATGTCAATTTGAATATATGAAGAATGTAATGGCATACATAGCTTTTAGTAATCATCTGCTTCCATTTAGACCTCATTAATTTGATAAAGAGCTTCGGAGGTGCTTCTAGTGGCGAAGGAAAAGTTTAACTGTAGTTCCATTTCCAGTTCTTTCAAGAAGAAGATAATAGCATGAAACTTCTTGATATATACATGGTTCTTTCCCTTTGAATATGTTGCTGTTATGGTCAATATAGTAACTGGAAAAGGTTACTATTGGATGTTTTCAGCCGCTATTTAATGGTGTTGTTGTATTCTTGTTCATTCAGTGCGGTGAAAACACAACTTTGTTGTGCGCGCACATGATTCTCTTGAGTGCTGTAATTATTTACTGTAAATGGCTCTGTTGTTGGTCAACATTCGTGCATTTCTTTTTTCCTAGAGTCATTCAACACGTTCTTCTTAGAAATATACAAATTTTTATGGTAGTGTTTCGGAAATTTATTGTTTTTGATTAAATAATTAGGAGAGAAGTATCTTCAAAAATATTTTATTAGTAAAGAATTCAATAATGTTATTTTCCGAGCATATCAAATACTTGATTTTTTAAAAACTTATTGATGTAAAGAATGCTGTTCATGTGAAAAATTTCTCTACTCATTTCCAAAAACTAATATTTTTACTCCATTGTTGCAGAAAACTGAACAGGAGAAGTTGGAGAAGCTTGCACGTAAGGTATGTTTTCAATTTTCAACTTTATCTTGTTTGTTAGCATTTGTTGACATTTTTATGGTCCTATCTAGTTTTATTATATTTGTGTTGCCATATTCAATGCATATGATTCAAGATTCACCACCCAATTGTCATATTCAACGCATTTGATCCAAAAGATTCACGACCTAGGAGGCCCATGTTCATAGACTTCTTCCCAGGTTTGCTGTAGAGGGTGAAACAAAGTTTACATCTATCCTCCTTAGTTGGTACCAAACTGTCAACTATGAGCATAGGAGTCTCTTGCTGCAAAACCTTCATGTCCAGCTGGCACTTGTCTATCTATTCGCATGCTACTGACGAAACAGATTCTAGTAAATCCGCATCAAGGAACTAATTGGATGAGAGCCATAACCCATCGTGTGATACATGCTAATTTAACATGTCCTGTCCTTTTGTCTTAGTATTCTGTTTTCTCCCAAAAAGCAAGAAGGATTGGTTCAGAGTCTGGAGCATAGTTACACGGTTCACGTAAGCAGTGGGTTGTGGTACGAATTTGGGTACACAATTTGCCACTTAGAAAATTTGGATTCTAGGGGGGTATCTTGCTTCCGTACAAAAGTTTAATACATAGTACATTGTAAAAAAAAAAAAGGGTGTGCCTACCTTTTTTTAGAAGTGTGAAGTAGGAAATTAGAAACTAGAAAGCTAACAGCTTTTCAATTTCCATTAGAACTAGGCTAGTTATCTTTTTCAATATTTAATTACAATAAAGTCATTGACTCATACATATATTCAATTATTAATTTGTTGTCTTGTCTCAATATGTATTTCAGTTAAAAAAGACAGTGATTTAGGGGTAATTATTATCTTTGGATAGCTTCCACTTACTAAAGGGTACCACAATAATTTTGTTGAAATTTATAATCCTTGTGCATGTGCACACAAAGAGAATTTGCTTCCCACATACTTGAAAGCGGCGTGTCAATTTTGGGGAACCAATTTGTGTATCAGAGGGTTCAGTTCGCAAATGTACGGGGACTCGGTTCACAGAAACTGTACGATGG